GGCACTTCCCTCGTAGCGCTCCAGGCCGGACGGCTGGGGGCGTAAGGCGGGAAAATGTGACGGGGTGGCCGATCGCCCGGCGTGGGCCTTCCCTTCCGTCTGCACAGCCCCGAGGACATCCCCTGCACGATCCCGACGTAAACCGTCCGTTTCACCATTATTCATATCATTTTCATCAATCACACCTTCGTTAGGGCCCTGTGGTTCCCGCAAATGAGAACTGCTTCCCACCTCACAGGGGCTTCTACGGCCGAATGCTGCCTTTTCGCCGTCCTTTTCCGCCACGGCGAGTTCGTTCGTGTGAAGCGGCGGGAGAGGGGGGGGTATCACACGAGATGAAGACTTCGCCTCAACATCGCCTTCCCGCTTTTCCATCCCAGCCGAACGATCGCCGTTGAATAAGATAATTTTACACTGCGCGCGTGCTGAACTCGCAGCCTGGGATTTTTCCTTTTCTTTTTCTATGAGCGCTTTCCAGACTTTTTCGTCTTTCCGAAGGGGTTTCGTCGGCTTCTCCAGCGTTGTGGTGGAACGACAGCGGCGTTTGACCAAGAGAACCCCGCGACCCCCTCCTCCGCGCGAGTGGGATTTGATCGAATTTGTGTAGAAAAGCCGCTCGTGTGGATTTGTCGTGGAGGAAGAGGCGGCGCGATTTTTCTTCCCTATCTCTGAGCGGACATGCGGAGGAAGATAAAATCGCTTATCCGACGAATATCTGGCGCTTCCGATTGGTCGCTGGGTCCTTTTCCGCCCCATCCCGCCCTCTTTTCCAAGGGTTTCGTTTTCGTCCGCTTTGGCATCAACGCCGCGATCGAATTCACGGGAGGTGGAGGTCGGGGAGGAGAAGGGGGAGGGCTGCGGGGTTTCACCTCGCGAACTAAACGCGTTCCCCCCACTCCCACTCAGACTGAAGAGTGGAAAACTACCGAATTCACTCATAGCTTCACTATTTTGAGAATAACAACTGTGAACATCACTATTGGGTTCTTTATCATAGATCATCTTAATTTTGTCGTGAATTTTCTCCTTAAATCTTCTATACATATGTATAACCTTCTCTTTCTCTATCTACCTATGCGTAAATAGACTGATTTAGGTATCCAATTTGTTCCTTTGTGTGCGAGTTTACTATATACCTTTTTAAATGTTTTTTTTTTCTATATGTAGAAGTTGTGATATGTTCGACAGAAAGGATGCCCTTCAAATCGAATTTCAAGACACAAATGTACACAAATAAACAAAGCAAATCCAAAAAAAGGAGAGTTTTTTTTTCCTATTTGACAGTATACTTGGAGTGGTGGGGGGTGGAAATCTACGGAGACTTCTGCCCTGCCTGTCTTCGTCTTTACCAAGTGGTGAGCTCACTCTACAAATATATGTTCCTTTATCCTTTTCAATTCCGAAGAAGAGGTACGATACCCAACGGACATCAAAAAAAGGGGAGAGAGATGAAAAAAATTGTAGTAAATAGAGGTCATAAAATTCATATTACAGAGAGTTGGATATTACGTTCTAGTATTCCAGAATCAATAATACCAATTACCATGAAATCGGTAGTGATCCAAAGATAGCTAATTGGGAAGCATAAAAAATAGTCCTCCGCGCACGAAAAGAGCCCATCAACAATGCAATTATACACGATCATATATATATGTATATATATATTCAGTATCTTCAAATATTTGGTCGCCTTTCCATAGAACATGGACAGGCGCCGTTTAATGTACACGGGCTCGACGTAATTTGTACGGGGCTTAGTCTATACCGTTCACGTTAAATTAAATTGTTCCTGTTTAGTAGGAGGGGTTAATTATTTTCAACGGGAAATCCTTACTTACGCTCTCCTTCCTCAGATATAATCTTGTCATTGATCGAGGGTTGAATTGCGATGTTATTTTCGGAATGGCACTTTCCCGAGCAGCTGCAGGATTCTCGATTCCACCGTTGATGCATCAATACCTTTTTTTTTAAATACGCATTCATTTGAGGAGCTAAGTAGACGATCTCGTCGAGCGGCTTGGTAAAAAAATTTATGATATTCCGGAACCTGGAACCTGTATCAAAAAGACTATGAATATCATTTCCGATGCGAAGACAATACACTCTGCTTTCGTCTTCTACGTGCTGTATGTCGAAGAGGGTGAGGGCGCGTGAGATATGTAGGAGCTGATCTATCAGTGTGTATGCAACCAAAAGCATCATTAACGGGAGGACAAGCTGTGTATAAAGATAACCAAAGCGATCGATTGGACTTGAGACGCACAAGTTTCCAGCAAAACGCGCTATTTCAAACTCTCCCGGCTTCTCTTTGTGCCTATCCGACAATTTCTTTAGCAGATAAGAAGCGATAAAACATACTTTTTGGTAAAACAACGCGTAGTAGTAAAAGGATCCCAATAAAGAGAGGTAGGCGAAGTGAAATAGCAGGAAATATTTATGATTCCTCGCCCCGATGCTATTCCCGAGGTACGCGCAATAATGATCATACCGTAATACAACACGCCTCAAATGCGGGCACCACTGCGCCCGAAGAGGTTTTTTGGCCATCCCCTGTAAAGCGATGGTGTGGATAAAATCCTTTGAAGGAATCTCCCCTTTAGCGACCTTCCTGAGCATCGAGTAAATCCCTTTTCGCTGCCCTAGCGTCGAGGAAACCACCCCTGGCGACTTAATGAACATCGTCAGCAGACTCAGCACCATCACCACCGCAGAGGGGATGAGCCAGTAAAAAAGTGATTGATAATATTGATTAATGTCATGAGCATCGTAATAACAGAATACAGTGAAGTACAGTAGGTTCGCAACTTGCGCTATTATAAAGCCGATGACGAAAAAGACGCTTCGGCATGAGAAGTGACCCATCTTCACTCCTTCTTCATCCGCCTTTTTGATGCGCAAAAACCACATTAAAACGATCCACACTGCCAGTGGCATCGCTGCAAGCCACTCGATTACGTAGCACCAGAGGTATAAAAAAGCGTGCGGAAGAAGAAAAAGCAGAAGCCCATCGCGGAGGTTGCTGCCGTGATTCCCTATCCAACTCTTTCCCTCCTCGAGAAGCGTCTTCCGGCGGCTCTGGGAGGGGGTGGCGGCGTAAACGTGAAGGAGCCGTTGGACGCCGTGGTGGTTGACTTCTCCTTCACTTCGCTCCCACCAACGCAGCCTCCAGTAATCCCACCAATACTTCACCCCATCCCATCGCTCAAGCATCGCCCGGCGAAGCCTCGGGGTTTTATTGAGCATTTGAATGGGAGAAAAAGGAGAATATACCCTTGGGGGGATTGTTGCCATCCACCGCGCGGGCTCTTCGGGATCCTTCGCGAGCAGCTCCCGCACCATCGCCACGTCCCCGCTGCGGACCGCCAAGTCGAAGGGGTCGTTCCCTCCTCTGCAAGTTCTTTCCTTTTCGCCTTCTATTCCTCTTTCATTTTCCTTTTCCACGACATTGGATTCGGACGAGAGGCTGAGGTGGAGCTCTTCGAGGAGGTAGAGCATGGGAAAGCGCCAGCCAGGGGTTGTACAGACAACATGAAGAAGTCTTTCCCCCTGCACGCGTGCACGAAGGACGTCCTCGCCGAGGTATTCGCGAAAGATCTCCATAATTGCCGGATCGCCAATGGCGTAACGCAGGCTAGACGACCCCGCTCCATCCCGCATGTCGGAATCGGCGCCATTCTCGAGCAACCATCGCACCCCGGGCCCATTCCCGGCGGCGGCGCCCACCATCAGCGGGGTGACCCCCCCCCCTGTCCGCGCGTTCAACTCCGCGCCGTTGTGGATCAAAAAGATCAGCATTCCCAGGTTGGGGATGTCCATGGGAAGACCCCTCGGGCTGTCGCATTTGTCACAATTCGCAGAGTTTCTATCGGAAAGGGAAGACGCGGGTGAGAACGCGGCTGAAAAGGAGGAGGAGGGGAGCCATTCGGAAAGGAGGCTTGCGCGGCGGGCGATGGCGATGTGGAGGGGGGTGGCGCCATCCCCCGCTCGCTGCCGGTTGATTGAGAAGCCGCCGTCGACAAAGGCCTTTGCAAGGAGGAGGTGGCGGTCGTCCAGGACGACGTCGAAGAAGGTCTTGCGCTCAAGGCGCGAGGACTCGTCTAACGAAGGGGAGCCCGGGGTTGGCTCAACCGTCGGGCGCAGGTATTTGTATAACGGGAGGGGTGGGGTGGAGCTGTCCTCCATTTGGAACAATAACAATATACAAGTTAATAGAGTTCTTTTGATAATAATAGTAATCACAACAATAATAATAATGACGGTAATAATAGTAAAAATTTGATAAATGGAACTAGTACACTTTATCTTTATGAATTTTCTTTGCCTATTTTGGTAACTTAATTCGACTAACGTACAGGCTTGATAATAGTAAACATAACTTTTGTTTTTTTTAATATTGAGTGAAAAAAAGATGAAGAGAAGGTGATAATACTAACGCTAATAATAAGAAGACTTAACGTGGAGGATAGATGCGCATATATGCATAAAGAGGGAGGGTGTAAACGAATATATCTTCAGGAAATAACACACACATTACTTCCTCAAAAAAGGATACAAAAACATGCGCATAGTTTGTTCGTAATAAGAACACCCATTCATCGAGGTTTGCAAATCAAAGAGAGGTAAGGAGAAGAAATGAAAGGTCCTCTCCCTTCCATTTAGTTCGTTCTTAGCCCTGGTCATCCCATCACACCTTGCCATGCCTTTTAAAGGTAAGCCGTGTTGATGGAATCATTACCTAGCTTTTCTTTCTTTTAGTCAGTAGGTGCATCGGAAGTACTTTTGTTGCCATGAAGCTCCGTAAAGTACTTTTCCAGCGAGCGTGCTTCGCAAAGTTGCGTGGTATTCACCTCTGCGGACTCCTCCATCGCTTTCACCAGCCGTTGAACCTTTTCAAACGCCTGTGAGAGCTTTTCCCGCGCGGCGTGGAGCCGTTCCCCCGCGAGTTTGACTTCATCCAGGCCCATTCCTTCATTCGTGTTGGCCGCATGGACGGCAATCGCGGCCCCCACGGCCTCTGTGAAGGCGGACCAGATATTCTCGTAGAGTAGGTGCTCGCCGCCGAGCGGGAGGAGCGGGGGGTCGAGCAGCCCCCGCTGGAGTAAAGCCCCCCTTTCCGGAGATTCCCCCCCCCTCCCACGGCCTTCACAGCAGTCGAGGAGGGCAAAAAGGCAGCCAAAAGACGCCGTTGGGCCTCCGGGAGCGTCCCAACTGAGGACTCCAGGCCGAGCGATTCGGGTGTCTCCGAGATCAGGGCCGGATTCCGCGCGAGGCGGGAGAGCAGAAACGCCTCAAGGCCCTCTTCAGCCTCCACGGACATCGCGCACAGCCCCTTGTACGCTAAACAGGTGAGATTACCGCCTTTACACGAGTTTGGGATGTAGTTTTGCGTATTTGAACGGCACTTCCTAAAAAATAGACTCAAACCCCAGAGTGACAATGATAATGATAGAATCAAGCCCCTCGCTCGAGGGAAGCCATGAACAAGACGATTCACGGGTAAACATCACATTCAACATAAGTTATGAACTTTTTTTCCCTGATAAAACTTTCCCAATTCTTAGGGAAACTGAAAATACATAAGAGTTGGTTTTCGAGTAAAATCAAAGCCACTCTCAGTCATATAAGCGAATTATATGCACACAAATCTCATCTCCTGTACATGAATCTATCCATACTTTTGTTATTTAGCATCTTCTTTTTGTCTAGTCCTCGTTTGGACTCATGCAATTAAACCCTTCCACCAGAGCAAACCACACAATGAATTCCAATAGTGATCCAAACATAAAATAATTACCCTTTCCTCTTTCAGAAAATAAATGACCATTTCTCATCCTCGGATTCTGCATTAGCAAACGAGCATGTACCGATCATCACAAAAAAAAATTAACCAACCCCGCATTGACCTCTTCTGCATACGTTTGAATATCCACAACACTATACTATAACTACAACTAATCAATCTATTGATAGTAAACGAAGCATTTCTCTTACATTAGGATGAACAGAAGGGAATGCGGCGGGTGAGCAAGGGAATCAAAAGGCGGTTAACCCCTTCCTCTAAGGTTTCAGCATTGTGTAGCCCACCTTGAGGACCTCTTCCTCAATACACGGGTAGGTCGCATGCCGGGCGAGCACCTTTTTGCTCACGTCGATCGCCCGGACGGGGTCGCCGCTTTTGAGATAATTAAACGCGACACGAAAGCCCACGGCGGGGTCGTTTTCGAGGGAGAGGGCCCAGGCCTTTTGGTAGGCCTCGGAGGCCTCGGCGTGGTCGCCCTGGCGCTCGTGCAGCCACCCGAGTTGGCTCCATCCCGCACTGCAGTGCCGATTCCGCGCGAGGACCCCGCGCAGCTCCTCCACCGCCGTCGCGAGCTCCCCGCGTTGGACTAATAATTGGGAAAAAAGCAGCCGCGCGCGGACGACGACTTCGGCGTGTTGCTCGCGTTGGCGGGGTGTAGAATCCTCAAAAACGCGGCGGAGGAGATTCCCCGCGGCGGCTTCCTGCCGGCTGAGATAAAGCGCCATCGCGAGGCCGAGAAAGCCTGGGATGTG